GCTCATTTGCTTTCAGCTGGTCACTCTCACCTTTGAAGCAGTTATTTCTTTAAGAAGATTAAACCATGTTAATATCAGTTACATATAATGGATATAGATGACGACACTGGGTGTGCACCTCTCCCCTGAGCTTTAAGCACAGTTTTAGTATGATATGATATAGGTATGAAGAGGGCTATTATTTTTATTTATATAATTGTTTTAGGATTTTGATTGAGGGAATGACAAACAGAAAGAGAAGTTCTTCCTATTTTTGCTACTTAAGTTTGTATTTTCTGACTTGTTTAAACTTATGCACTCTTTTTCCATTGGGGGGTGAGGGGGGGGGGGAACCTACAAGTTTTAAATTTTATTTGCTTTAAACCATGTGTTCCTAAGAAAGTAAACAAGCCGAGAGAGCTGGCTTGTAAAAATTATTTTTTACATGATGTGGATTTTCATCAAGTCTTGTGTAGGGATGTGTCTGACACAGCTATGCAGCTTTGATGAAATCAGTATAGTATGAGACTTTTTAAGTGGCATTTAACTATTTCCAAGATGGTACTTTTAATTTGCTGTGGCATCATCTAAACAGACACTTTTAGGGCTGACCTAGAAGTAGAGAAGGTGGAATGGGAGGGAAAAAATGTTAGTGAAGAAACTTGAGAATGCGAGAGAAGAGGCCTGCCACTTGTTAGTTTATCCCACTTCAACACTCAACAAATTTCTGCACTTTTGAAGTTAATATTCATGTTTCACCTAATTTTAAATAGAAATAATTTTAAGTAGCCCTCTTAGAACTATATATAATACATGTTGTTATGCCCATGCTTTTGAATAAATTTTTTAGATAATCTTCATATAGCCATTGTGAAATTATAGTCAGACATTTATTCAGATACCAGTATTAGATTGAAATGTCAGTGCCCCATATCATTGACATGTTCAATTAAATGTGATTAAGCCCCATTATTTGCATTTGCAGGGTGTTGGTACACTATGGCACAAGTGTTGTAAGGAGGCAATATATAGATTATATATGTAGTCTTAAGTTGTCAAAAACTCAAAGATTAGTTGTTTTAATTATCAGAATTGAGTATTCACTTTCAGATGCCACAGCTGAATCAAAGAAAAACATTTTTAATATTGTATTTTATTTGCTAGGTAGTCTCAGTCTAAGAATTGGATGACTAAGAGCTGTTTCTCTTTATCAGTGTGGATTTCAATTAACACAAGCCTACCTCTATTTTTTGATGCACAGTAGTGTGGATCATGAAATAAATAGTTTCACATTCATCAATATTGGTATTTTATGAATCTATTTAAAACATTTGATTTCATTTTAAAGATTGTGATTCAATTTAGATAAGCACAAATACAGTAGTAGGGAAAGTAAATATGCAGTTTTAGCAAAATTTAATTTCAACCTATTAAGAGCTGTATTATCTTTAAAAGAATTCTTTGGGAACATATTCCTCTTTTGTTGTAAGTTCAGAAAATGTATTACTATATGATTTCCTTTATAGCAGCAGTACAAGCCATTACATCAGTAAAGAGTTAAAAATTATCTTTGGAAAAAGTTTCCTAAATTTTTAAGAATTCTAAAGTTTTACATGTAATTTTTTAGAGCTTAAAATAATACTATGAGAAAGCTTTTTTTGAAAGTTGTAAAGTACTAATATGATGGTAATTATTGCTGTCATATTCTAGAGCAAAACATTTGGCTTTTTCTGAACTGTCACTTTAGTACTCACATATTAAAAGGAAGTGGCCTCCCTCCTTTTCCAATCTGAAGCCCAGCTTCTCTAATGAAAATTGTCCCATTCTACTCTTAACACATGAACCTTCTAAATGCGATGTTTACCGAACCTTTTGGGAAATGTTCCCCATGAATGTTTCATGTTTTCCCCTTTTATAGCTTATGAACACTTAATTTTATTTAAAAATGACCGTTTTAATCTCAGATATTAGGGGGTACACTAGAAAAATATTTTTTTCTACTGTCTTTGAAAAGTACAACTGCTCTCAGTGATACTGGTGGCATAAATATGAATCCATAGAAAGAAAACCTTGCAAAGGTTTTTAAATATATTGTCTAAAAGAAAGTATAGAATGACTCTTAATTTGGAAAAAATAAATATGAATTTAAAACACTGTTATGTTAACATGGCATGGTTTTAAATTTAAGAGTAATATAGTAAGTCCTTTTAGACCACCTATTTAAATGGACTCCAGTAATCTTCTTAAGGATTGATAGTAGCCATCATTATTGGCTTAAAATTATACAGTGTTAAATCCATGTTTTTTTTGAGCTTTCATTGATGAGGTGAAAAAGTTGGTGCTTGTGAGGGTGGTAGAACTGGTGGTGGAAATAAATATCAACCTACTTTAGAAAGAAGGAACTTTTTAGTCTTGCCTCAAGCAACCAGAAGAATCCATTGCTTACTATCTTCGTTTAGAATGGTTAGATAGTCATAATTCTTTTTGTGTTAAGTAGTACTAAATACTATATTAATAGTTAATAGATCTACATAATCACTAAATTACTATGATGAATAACTGGGGTTTTACCTCGGTTGAGAGCTGTGTGTGACACCCTCGGCAGTTACTTACCTTTAAACCTGTTTCCTCTTCTATGTATACAGTGTGGAGCCTATACTAAAAATGTTGATTTTAATTTAAATCATCTCTGTGGTTTCTCCCAGCTCTAAAACTATGATTCTGGGCCACATAATTGGTGTTTTTAAGTTGCTTCTACTTAATTCTCTTTCCCTTTTCAACAGTTCCTTTCATACTTCAGAGCAATTGCTAAAAGATATTTATTAAGCAATATTCCCTGTGCCACCTAGTCTTTGTTGTCCTAAGGAACAAGGCAGAAAATTCAAACAGACAAGCAAATGAGGACATTTTTCTAAATGCTTCTTGCTAGCTAACCATGGAATATATGAACACACTAGAGGCCCAGTCCATGACATTCGTGCACTCTGGGGGGTCCCTCAGCCCGGCCTGTGCCCTCTAGCAGTCTGGGAGCCCTCGGGGAATATCCGGCTGCATGGCTTCTGGCTGAGCGGGCTCCCCCTGTGGGAGCGCACTGACCATCAGAGGGCGGCTCCTATGTTGAGCATCTGCCTCCTGGTGGTCAGTGTGCATTATAGCAACCAGTCATTATGATGTTCAGTAGATTTGCATATTAGCCTTTTATTATATAGGATATGGACATTATCATTCAGGCATTTATCCATTCATTTAGCAAACTGTTGGAACACTTAATATGTGTAGCATGTGGTAGACATGACATAAGGAACTAGTAATAAATAAACAAAATCTTCCCAAACATAATTTTGATTGCAGTTTAAACAGATATGGACATTATTATTATTAATGTACTGAATATAAAGTTGGAACTGAGGGAAATTTTTCTGCATTGGGGTAAGAATTAGGCTAGATGACAGATAAGGGGTCTGAGTAAATCACATCAATTCTTGTAGCATTTCACCTACTAAACATCCATCAGTCATAAACCTGAGTAGGTTATGAAATTAAGGGTATTAACAGTAAGGATTTATATTTTGTGACAGCCCATATTTCTAAGAATTGTTTTGACACTCGAATCTATTCCAGAGGTGTTGCTATGCAGGGGGTGAGAAAGAACAATACAAAGAAGCTGGTGCTGACTTACTATACATTTTTAACTACAAAAGCTTTATACCCAGAATTGACAGTGAAGCATATCTAAAACTGGGAAATTTCAAAGGAAATTGCTGAACAGGTTTGTTTTTAAAGCAAGGAAGACTACATAAATTTTATTACAAATACCTACTTTTTAGAAAGCACACATTACAAAGTAAAAGGGTTTTACTTTAAAATATAGAACTAATAAACATAAAAGAGTTCTGTGTTTAAATTGACAAGTATTTGGGGATAAGGATCAGTTATTAACTGGGTATATTCCTTACCACTTGAGGATTTGTGACTTATCCTGTAACTCCTATTGACACAGCTTTACATAGTAACGTTGCTTGATACTAACATTCTCTATTAAGATAAAAAAAAATGAAAGTTAATTTTTATTGATTTCAGAAAGAGAGAGGGAAAAGTAGAAATATCAATGATGAGAGAATCACTGATCAGCTGCCTCCTGCATGCCCCACAGTGGGATTGAGCCCCAACCTGAATATGTGCCTTGACCAAGAATCGAACCATACCTCAACCACTTAGCCACACCAGCTGGGCAGTCACAGCTTCTTAAAGCAGGAAAATGTCCAAATACATGTCAGATTAGAATCTTTAACAAATTGATTTAAAAAGGAATACGGACATTCCAAGTAAAACAAATTTTTCCCCCAAGGCATTGTTTAAAATTTGAGATGTTTTGATTTATCAAATTTTAAAAATACCCATATTTTATGATGTTAAAAATATATATATACATATATATATATATTGTATAAGTATCTTTTGGCTCCTGAACCGAAGGATTGCATGTTGAATTCCCAGGGCATGTACCTGGGTTCAGTTCCCTCCCTGCCTCAGTTGGGTGCATACAGGAGGCAACTAGTCAATGTGTCTCTCTTGCATTGATGTTTCTCTCTTCCTCCCTCCCTTCCTCCCTTCCATGCTCTCTGAAAAGCAATGGGAAAAATATCCCCAGGTGAGAATTTAAAAAAATAAAGTCAACGGATTGTGCAAGGATGTCTAACTTTGGCTGTATAATTTTGGATGCCTAACTTCCGAGATATTCACCAAAGATTCCCAGTCACCTTATTAAAAACCTTTTTTTTTTTTTTTTTTTTTTTTTCCTGTAGGGAAAGAAAAGTCAAAATAGGTTCTAGAAGCTATGCTTCAAGTCAGGAGTGAGCTTGTGCTGAGGGTTGGAGTTGTAGACCGCAGTGTACAGGATGGATGCCAACACAGATGGCAGGCATTTTAGGCCTCTGCTAAATTAATGCTTTTGTCTTGTTAATATTTTGTTGTTGATTTAAACATAGGCAAATTTGTGTAATATATTAGTTTTTTTAAAAAAATACTAATTTTTGATTCTTCAAGTACATGTTAATTGACTTTTTCTATTACTACGTTTGATTCCTCACACTGTTCTAAAATAGGACTTTTAAATGATTAAAACTTCAAAAGCTGATCCACCCAGGATGAACAAAGCATCACCAAGGGGAAAAAGCATTTTTTATCTTTCTAGAAAACAAATGTTAAGATTATATATAGATGTATTCTTTACATTGGATATTGTATTAGAGTCCTCTTTACAGGAAATTAAATAGTCTTAGCTCTCTTAGCATTAGTGTTCCTAGATTGGTGTCTGTAGCTAGTTTTTAATTGTATAACCTGAAAATGAAGTTAATTTTGCATTATAAGAGCACACCCTGATCTATGTAAAAAGTCTTTCCATTTGTTTTGTTTTTTCAAGAAAAGAGAAGGCACTTTCATATTAACAAGTAGCATGTGTATCAATTTTAGATTTTCATATTTGTTGTGTCTGTATTCAGTGAAGTAAAACTAAGCATTCAAATGTTTGTTGATGGCAACGTTAACTGTTAAAGCACCTTATACTCTGCTGCTTAAACTTACTTGTAATTGCACCTTTGTTACCTGCATATTTTCACATAGAATATTATTGTAACATTGCTTCATGTGGGTCTGGATGAAGGTTAAGTGGGCCTACAGAATCATTTATTTATATTGTTTATAATTCAATAATATATTGTAGACCAGCTGTTAAGTTCATTTCTTTACTAATAAAAGCCTCTTCCATTTGGCTGGTCTATTGCATTTCTTTTTTTCTTTAAGCTTATGAGGCATGGGGCTTTCTTAGTGAACAATAACAAAAAAAAGCTTACTAATGGATTTAAAATAGTTATAAATTTTCCTGATTTAAAATCTGCAGGGTTTTATTAAGCACAAAACATTTTAAATATCATAGTGCCGTGTTATGGCCAATTAGAAAGCAGTACAGAAGAAAAGGAACAGAGAAATGAGGGCCAGGTTTAGACATTGACAGGTTAGACACTTCTATGTAGTTCAATTGAATTCACAAAGTGACTTCAGATTATTTGCCATTCAGATTCCTTTATTCCTGCAGTTCTCTGACCGGGGGCGATTTTGCGCCCTTCCCCTCCCCCCATGGGAGGTTTGGCAATGTCTGGAGACATTTTGATTGTCAAGTCTGGGAAAGACAATGCTATTGGTGGTATCTAGTGGTTAGAGGGGTAGGGATGCTACTAAGTATCTCACAATGCACAGGGCGTTCTCCCCAATCACCTAACCCAAAATACCAATAGTGCTGAGGATAAGAAACCCTACTTTACTTTTACAAGGTATTTATGATTTGATATTGCAAGTGGCATTTAAGTTATATAACTGAGAAGGAATATGGTATGTCATGGAAAGAAACCTAGTCAGTCACTACCAGTTCTGTAAGGTAAGCAAAACTTAGCTTGCAGAAATATTTATTTTAAGAACAAATATAGAACAATATATATTTTAAGAACAAATATATATTTTTAAATTAGCTAATCTTCCCCTATGTTAAAGAATATTTATTCCAAATCATTTTAAGAAGACGATCTTGATTTTATTGCTGTGAATTAAATAACAATGTTTATTTAAGTTTGTATAAAGTTGGCAGCAAATCTCAGATTTACAGAAGTTTGCATCCAGTAGTTTTTTGGATAACAGAAACATCAGTATGGCCAAATGTTAACTCATTTCATTTCTATGTTCATATTTATAACATGAATTTTCCTGAACAGATATAACATTTTTTCTTGGAATTATTTTGTTTAAAAGCAAACAAAAAGACAAATAATATCATAGCCCAAAATACACATTGAGGCGGTTGAGGGAGGCTTCAGTTCAGTTCAGTCTTGTTATGCACCGAGTTATTTCTTCTTTGAAAATACCACAGTTGTAAGTTTTAACCCGGCAACATGTTAACAAGTTATAATTGATGTAGGCTTTTCAATTTGCTCAGGATCATGAATTGCAAGTGCAGTGAAGCAGCATTTCCAGTTGACAAATGGATCCACAGGTAATGCAATGTCTCTTAAATTAAACTTGTGACATTTACACCAGAAAACTGTAGCAATGAGAAAACTATTGACAAAGTACAACCACGGAATGTTCATCTCAATGTATGCTGGAATCTGTACTTTAAATAAAAGGATCATTATCTGAAGTAGTACAAATGGTAACCATGTACCAAGAAAACAGACAATGAGCTTGGGCAAGAGTGTTTTTTTAGAGTTCACAGTACAACTAGAATGGGATGAAAAAGGGAAATACAGGACAGTCTCATTCATGTAGGAAGTTATCCTAATTGCCTGTACCAAGGTAATAACTTCTGACCAAGAAGTTAGGAAAGCCATAAATAAAATCATCACCATGGAAAGTGACAGCCAGTAACTTTGAATGCTGACATAGAAAGGACATTGGTAAGGATAAACATACTGTGCCTTCATGTTTTGGTAGATACCTGGATCTCCCAAAACATAAGCAAACACTAAAATCCAAATTAAAATTACTGTAAAGAAATAAAGCAATTTCCGACACTTAAGTGGAAGGCTGGTTTTAGAAAAATTCAGATAATAATCTATCCAAGCTATCAGGAAAACTGGATAATGCAAAAAGCCATAAATAAAAGAAATAATTTGAGTAAACAAGCAGATGTGGTATTTAGTAAACCTAATGTCTAAAAGTACAAAATCCCTGAAATAGGATATAATGGAAATGTTCACCAAGAGTAAAAGGTCCATGAATGCTAGTGAAATGCAAAAATATTCCATAAAAGTTTGACAGGTGTTTTTTCTTCTCATTCCCAGTGTGAGGATATTTAGTAATATTTTTCCAAGTATAATCAAGATTAGCAGACAGTTACCATCTAGGGGCTGACTTGTGTGATGTAACTGGTACTGAGAAGAGCAGTTCTCTGAAGAAAGCACAATCATATTTTTAGTTAACCTTCAGAAGGCCTGCTGAAATATAGACGATAAAATACTGCTTTGCTTTATTTTCCATCCCTGCAAAAAGTGAAAAAGTCTTGATGTTATCTTGATTCTATCTCTATTTTAAGACTTTACAAAACAAGCACTAGGATTTCCCAAATCTAATTTAATCCAATCATTTCCACAAACAATTATATGTATAAATAGGAATTTATATTTCTCATAAAATGTATAGAATACAGACGAAGAATATGCATACTTTTTGAGACATAGGTTGTTCAGAACACTCAGATCTATAACCAAAATGTTACATATAAATTACTAAAACTTCCATATAAGTACAAGTTTTAACAAGTAAAAAGATAAAATACTTTTTCCTACAGGAGTGAAAACACAGGCTTAACATAGCAGCCTGCAGGTGACACTCAGAACAATCACTGATAGTTGTTAAGCGAGTCCCACTCTGACTCAAGATAATGTTACCTCACCTGTCCCCCCTTTTATCTCTTCGTAAGTGAGGTAGAGGTAGTGTTTAAGGGGCCCTCTAGTCCAGCAGTTTTCAAACAGTTTTTAACTGCAGGATCATAATTCATATTAAGTCTCTGAAGCTCAAAGATAAGGAACAGACTATTCAGCTGAAAATAATAGGAACATTGGTAAAGGAAAGATTTATCTTCTGGGTATGATCTTACAGGTGTGGCACCTGGAGAGACGGGAGAATACAGGGAAGGAATAGGGACCGAGTATGGATACCTGAGAACATCAGGAAGTCCTAGGTAAAGGCAAAGGAACAGGAGTTGAAGCTTGAGTGATAAATGCACTTGGAGGCAGCAAAAAAGATAAGATGATGAAGGAGAAAGGTCAGAGAGGAAGAAATCAGGAAAGGATGGAAGGAAGGAAATTAGAGAAATTTGTCCTGAAAACATGACCCAAAGATGTTTCTGCAAGACTGTTCAAGTATTTCTGAGTAGCAAAATAAAACTAACTCCAAGTACTAACAGATCCATCACAAATGTCAACAACTGGAGAGGGTTAAAACGATACACAGTCCTTCCCTACATGTTCTCTGCTGCAGCCATTAAAAACGTTAGCAGGAAGACTGTGTTCACACACCTTTTCTATACTTACTGTATTTTCCGGCGTATAAGACGAGCTCTGAACCGAAAAAAAGTCAACCGAAAATCGGGGGCAAAAGACCAAACTTGCACAAAAATCACCTGCAGATCTTCATGGCAAAGTAAGTCTTTTCTTTGAAGTAGGGGATAGTCTTATAAGCGAATATATGCCTAAACCTATGTTTTAACTGTAAAATTAGGGGGTCATCTTATACGCCGGAAAATACGGGTATTCAGTGTTTAGCCTTATGAGCATGTTACATGTTTAAAAATAACATAAATTTCCATAATGTTTAGTTAAATGAATTGCAGATTACAAAAGTATGTCATTACTTGTTAAGCCATTACACATGCATAGAAAAATTTAAAAGGTACACATTGACTTAATACTATGTAGTATTATAGGTCTTTCTGAATTTCTCAAACTTTAAGGAAAAAAATAAGTTAGAGAGTGTCAAGACTAAAAAGTGAAAAACTGAATTTGCTGAAAAGCAGGTAACTGATTAATTTCAAAGGAGTAATGAGGATATTGTCTGAGAAGAAAAAGTTCAGTGTGGGAGAAAGCTATTAGTTCTATTAACTTGACAAGGAGTCCTAATTGAGAAGAGAGGCCCTCACATTTGATTTCTGTGTTCATCTTATCACAGTCCAATTTTAGCAAGAATCCTGCTAAGTCAGGTTAGCCAGCATGTCTCATCCTCAATATCTTATCTCCCTTGCTATCTGATCAGGTTCCTCATCTCTCTTGCCCCCACCCCCCACCCCCCCAATGATGTCCAATCACCCTAACCTTCCCTCAGCAAGAATCCTGTTAGGGGTTAGCCAGAATCCCCTTGCTCCTGACGCTTCCTTAGTAATATTTCCTCTACTGACCCCCACACCTTGCCTGTTGGCTGTGAATTCCCACTTGTATTTGGAGTGAAGCCAGTCTCTTCCCGTCACTGCAGAACTCACCATTGTGGTCCCTACACCCATTGCACTGGTTCTGAATGAGGTCTGCCTCACCACTCTTCAGCAGGGGCGGTGAATAATTTTTTCTTCAACATACTCTCATGGCCATAATGACCAATGTCATAAACCCACCTATCTATTTATACACACACACATGTGTATATATCAAAAAAGTTTAAAAAGTCATTCAATACTCCTATTCATAACTATAGGTTTAAAAGAATCAATGAAAAATTCTCTCGTACATTCAAATTATAATATTTTCTATACTCAAATATATCGTGTAATTTAACTTGACCCTCTCCCGAAAAAGCTCCATTCCAGATTTGAGATATAAATAATGGCACGGAATCATGATTAAGCACCTTGACAAATGCCACTGGCTTTGTAAGCGGTGGTGCTTGGATAAAGAAGCATAGCTGAAATGATAAGACCACTTGAAGCCCTCCAGTGTCAAGAAAAAAAAACAAGCTGTTTCAAATAGCAAATGTTGGTTTGGAATGGAGGTGAGGGAGGAAAACAGTGTGGGTTCATATTTATGACCCCACCCCCCTTAAAGGTATCTTTACTATAAAATTTAAACAGAATTATCCGTATAAAATTGTTTTATCCTTAATAACTGCAATGCAAAATTAAATAAGCAAAGCTAAGGAATCCATGTTTAAATAACATCCCAGGGGTGTTTCCCAAGTGTCCACTGCATCACTGACTCTCACCATGGGGGCCAGGGGAAGGCAAAAAGCAGGCGACTTCCTGGAGGAGTGTCTGGAGGCTTCGGAAGGTCAGCAAAGGCAGGAAGTGGAGGAGGATCGGTTCCAGTCACCAAGGCAGTTCTCGGAAGCTTCTTAGAAGATGACTGGAAAAAAGAAGACAAAACAAATCTGAGATGGAATATATCAGAGAACCATAAAGCTGGAAGGAACTTTAGAGAGGGAAGATATGCAACTTGAAGCAATAAAAAGCAATCAAGAGAAGTTGTGGCTGTTTTATAAAGGTTCCTGAATGTTATAATAATGGGAACTGAAACTTTCTGAGGTGATACCAACTTATACTCCCTGTCCTCAATAAAGCACTAAAATTGTTCAACATTACAACATTTTGTTCTTTAAACAACCCTACAGGATAAGACAAAAATCCTTTGTTAGGCTACCTGTCCCGAATTTTCCCTTGAAAAAGTTTACTTTAACTCCAAGGATTCAGTGATTTATAAGATATGGTTCTTTTCTTGGGGGTGGGGGGTGGGGGGGATGGCCAAGACTGATTTGGCTCAATGGGTCCCAGGTTCGATTCCGGTCAAGGGCATGTACCTTGGTTGTGGGCATATCCCCAGTAGGGGGTGTGCAAGAGGCAGCTGATCGATGACTCTCATCGATGTTTCTAACTATCTCTCTCCCTTCCTCTCTGTACAAAATCAATAAAATATATTTAAAAAAAATTTTGAACTACTTATGAATCAACTCATATTGCTTCATATACAACTTAAAAAGTTAACATGGAAGTCCTTTTCAAGACATCTTTGGGTTTGCATTGTGATCTGACTGATTCAGAAGTAGTAGGCCTGAAGGAAACTAACCATGATTTCTTTTTTGCTTTTCTAGTTATTAACAACCAAATCTTAACCACACACCATACTTACTCTGCTTTCTCCAAGAGGAAGTCTTCTCACTTGATGATCTTCCTATTTCAGTTTAAAGCCTTAAATTATCTGACTTTGGGTTCCTGGCATATCAAAATGTCACATGAATAAGCTCTGTGTGAAAGATTACAGAAACAAAACAAAACCATCATTAATAGCTGCCTTGGTAACTGGAGTTCAATATGACTGGCTCCAGATCTCTGCTTAGAAAAACTATAACTTGCACCGTAGCTGGTCTGGCTCAGAAGACAGTGTCTGCCTGGGTTCGATTCTGGTCAAGGGCACATGCCCAGGTTGTGGGCCTCGATCCCCAGTAGGGGGCGTGCAGGTCATTGATTCTCTCATTGATGTTTCTATCTCCATTCCTCTCTGACATCAATAAAAATATATTCTTTTAAAAAAAGAAAGAAAACTCTAATGTGCTGTGGAATTAGAACCAGCAATTAATTGCCTATCTTTTTTCCAGCAAAAGGAAGAAAGGGAATACTTAGGTTGAAAGTCCACCAAAGACCGGAGATGTGGGTGCATATAACAGGGCATCCATTTACAGAAATCTTGCTTACATTGTGGTTTTCACCCACAGGCTTCGGAGTCTAACCTCACAGTTCTCATGGTGTGATTACAGGACCTGCTGGCACTTGTTGCATGTTAACGTAATTTCTTAAAATGAAAATTTACTGTTTTCCCAAACCAAAAAACTGAGTGAATAAAGTGGCATTGATTGTTTCACATTTTATAAATTGCTTGTTTCTGGCTCAGTAGCAGATGTAGCTGAATCTCCAACCTATATTAAATCAGGTGCAGCATCACATTTCCTGAAGCTTTGGGAAAGTCCTCTGTTCATTCGAATTTGAGAGGAAAAAAATATAACTTTTCAATAATAGGTGACAAATTAAACTTAATAACTTCATAGTAGTATTATAATCAAATAGTCGTGCTATGCAACCTCAGAAAAGTTTAACAAGAAAAATAAAAATCTCATGGTATTACCCTGGAGCTATTAAAAAACGAGACAGCCAGGCTATGCTCTTCCACAACCAAGCTTCACCTAATAGTTTTAGCATCCACTTATCACGCTTGCCTGAATCAATTACCATCTTGGGGCTTACAAAACAGTGTTTTCCTAATTCTATGATCCCTTCTGCTTTTACACACTAGCAATTTTCCCCCTGGAAATATATTATGGATTCATGGACTTATTTTTAATCACTGCCACCCTTATTCTTTTGAATGCCTATTTCCAAACTCATCCTGTAGGAGTTCCTTCAAGCTGGTTCCTGGGTCCTCTTGACATTTCCCAGTCTTTAAACGCATTTTCAGACATCAGGGATCAGATATATCCATCCCGGACTGTTACATGAGAGAAATAAACTTGTACTGGATTTGAACCATTACATTTTTAGTTTCTTTTTATAGCATTTTAGCCCACTCTCCTTAATACAAAATACTTCTAATTGTTCTTTTTCGTAGCCCTCCCCTCTTGCTGCATATGTCTCTGCTTCTTCTGTAACATTTTTAGCCACTGTGAGCCTTCACTGTGTCTTTTGCCTACTCTCAGTATCATATCACTATTCTTAATCAGACCCCTGACTTACTGCGGCATGTGGTATTCTGCATATAGAGGATTATAGTTATTGATGTCTTGTGATGTACCATGGCCCGGGGGCCTTTCCTGCCAGGAACAGGCACAAAGCCAATCATCTCCATTTTAAACTTCCTACTTACAAAATTAATTAGAGGCTCCATTTGACTTTATCCAATTTGTAAGTACCCGATTTATCCAGGCTATTTTGATTTTTATTCCTAGAATCTCTGGCACACAAACATACACAATACATCACTGGTCATGGCTTAAAATTGATCAAATAGAACTGAGCCCCAGGCTGCCCTCTGCAAGGTTAACAGCTATCCCACATCAACACTCGATAAAAATAAACGTCCTTTACAGTCAGTGCCTTTGTATGACCTTCCCACCATCTAACATGGCATCATCTGAGCTAAACTGTGCTTCCCTGGGGGGCAAGTGATTATATATTCTTAATTATATCGATGGCATGAGAAAGTCAAGATATATGTGCCCTGCTTCCTCCAGATCCTTACAAACTTCTTGAAGAAATTAGGTTACACCTGAGATGATTCTGTTTTCCATTCACTACCATTAATTTTTACCCACGCCCTATGTCTGCTTGCAAATATTCTGGTGATGTATATTTTCATACAGCTCTCCCTCACAATGTAACAAAACCTTCTTACTACTGCAAATTGTGTGTGTGTGTGTGTGTGTGTGTGTATTCACTTCATCATTTTGGTGGGAACAGATCATTAGTATAAGTGCAATGTTCAGAATGAAGAAAATCATCCCAAACCTTGTACTAATCATTCAGATTTTGCTACCAAATTTTAAGACATCAATAATAGGAATATACCTAAATAAGTCAATAAGTATGGGAAAAGGGTTCATAAGAAAAATAAAGTTATAAGAATGGTAATTGTTCAAAAGTAGAATGTGTAGTAGCTTGAGAGCTAATGTTTGCACTACCACCAGAAATGTCCAAAGACAAATGCTTAACAAACATGCTCATTAAAGAGGTTTAATCTTCAAAGGGCATTTGAGCTAGAGATTGCTTCCTAGTTCTCAATGATTACCATCAACTTTAGTCTTGCACTTAAGTAAAGGAAGGGGTTTAGCATACAGTGACTTAGAAAGTACCAATCAGAAATTGGCTCAATAGTTCCTGGGATCTCACTCGCTGTCCCAACCCACTGAACACCACTCCTGGAATGACTCAACAACCGGAGATAACAACATGCTCAAGTTCGTTTGTAGTTTCCAAAACCCATGGCTCTGTTTGTCATTTCTGAGAAGGTGAACCATACAAAATACCTGAAGAAGATCCTTTTTGGAAAATATAACATCTAGGTCTCCTTAGATCTATTTCCTTAAAGCATGAGACTAATGATAGCATTTTCAAAGATTATTTTTTGGGGGTCAAGTAGGCAGGCCACTTAGTAAGTCTAACAATTCTACTCAAATACATGCGGTGATTTTTTGTTTATAAAATGTTTCATGGTTAAGTATTAGGCCTTTTCCAAATTGGAAGTAAGGAGAAAGTGCTGGTAGATGAAAAAGAGACATAATTATATGAACAAAATAAAGGAAAACAAACCATAGTCATTTTGAGAGCTGCAGAAAAAGCTTTTGACAAAATTCAAAGGCCAATCATGATACAAACTCCTCAGCAAAGTAGAAATTGAGGGAAATTACCTTAACCTGATAAAGAGCCTCTGAAAAATCTCCAGCTAGTATCATAATTATGAAATACTAATAACTTTCACACAAAAACTGGGAACAAGACAAGGATATCTGCTCTGATCACTTCTATTCAACATTGTAGGAGGTCATAGCCAGTTCAGAAAAGTAAGAGAAAAGGGCACAGAGATTAGGAAGAATAAAGTAAAACTATTTATAGATGGTATTTTTATATACAAAATATTCTAAGGCACCTGCCAAAAATTTACTGGAATTAATAAGTTAATTTGATAAGGTTGTAGGTCAATTATTAAAATGCCTATATATGCCGTGACCGATTTGGCTCAGTGGATAGATAAGAGTTTCGGCCTGCAGACTGAAGGGTCCCGGGTTCGATTCCAGTCAAGGGCATGTGCCTTGGTTGCAGGCACATCCCCAGTAGGGGGTGTGCAGGAGGCAGCTGATCGGTGTTTCTAACTCTCTATCCCTCTCCCTTCTTCTCTGTAAAAAATCAATAAAATATATTTAAAAAAATAAAAAAATAAAATGCCTATATATGCCCTAATTGGTTTTGCTCAGTGGATAGAGCGTTGGCCTATGGACTTAAGGGTCCCAGGTTCGATTCTGGTCAAGAGCATGTACCTTGGTTGCAGGCACATTCCCAGTGAGGAGTGTGCAGGAGGAAGCTGATTGATGTTTCTCTCTTATCGATGTTTCTAACTCCTTCTCTCTCTCCCTCTCCCTCTCCCTCTCCCTCTCCTTCTCCCTTTCTCTCTGTAAAAAATCAATAAAATATATTAAAACAAAAGCCTATATACATACATAAACAAAACTTAGAAATGTAAAAAGTACTATGTACAATAGACTCAAAAATATAAAATACAATACATAGGAATAAGTCTTTTAAAACATGTATAAAATTTTCATGCCAAAGCTACAAAACACTGCAGAGAAAAACTAAAGAAGATTAATACTGTTAAGATGTCAATACTCCCTGGATTGATAGATTCAGTGTAGCCCTGATCAAAATCCAACCTGGCTTATTTGTAAAAATTAACAAACCGATTCTAAAATGTATATGGAAATACAAAGAGCAAGGACAGAAAAAAAAAAAAATCTGAAAGAGCACAAAGTTGGAGGACCTATATTGCCAGATTTTGATGCTATTTTACAGAACCCAAGACAGGAGGTACTGTTTTAAGAACAAACAAACAGAACCGAGGGCTGTGGAGCATTCTAATAGTACACTTGGCCTACAAGAAAGTACCAGGGCAATTCAGTGGAGGAAAGCCTCTTCAACAGATGGCGCTGGGCGAACTGGTAGCTGTGTGAAAAAGAAGAACCTCAATCCCACCTCACACCACACACACAAATTCATTCAGGACGGATCACAGGCCTAAACGTAGAAGACTAAACACCACTCCTGGAATGACTCAACAACCAGAGATGATGGCACTGCTCATGTTTAGTTCCTTCAAGCTTCTAGAACGAAAACAAAGAACATCTTTGTAACCTTGGGGCAGGTAAAGAATTCTTAAACAAAACACAAAGCACCAACCATAAAAGAAAAAAAAGATAAAGTGGACTTCTTAAACTCTTCTCATGAGAAAATAAAAAGGCAAGAAACACACTGGGAGAAAACATGTACAGTACATATATTGAACAAAGAATTTATGCTCATACTACTAGACAACACACACACACACACACACACACACACACACACACACACACACATATATATATATATATATATATATATATATATATATATATGTCAATAGTAAAAGGACAATTCAAAACAAAACTGGGCAAAATATTTGAAAAGACATTTGTAAAAGAAAACATACAAAAAGCTTATCATCATCATCAGTCATCAAGAAAAAGCTAATCAAAAGACCAATACCAAGAATTAGAAAAGACATAAAGTGTAAAATGCTACAACCTTTGCAAAACAGTTTGACACAAACATAAACCTATCCTATGATCCAGTAATTCCACTCCTAGGCATTTTGCCCAGGAGAGATTCAAAGACGTATCTGCAAGAAAACTTGTATGACAATACCAAAATGCTGGCAAGGATGTGGAAAACAGAACCTCTCACTACTATTAGGGATATGAATTAGTATAGCCACTTTGGAAGACAGTATGGCAGTTTCTTACAAAATTAAACATATTCTTATCATACAATCCAGTGATCACACTTCCTTGGTAGCGATGAAAACCATGTCCACACAAATGTTTACAGCAGCATTATTCATAATTGCCCAAAGCTGGAACCAACCAAATATCCTTCAGGAAGTAACCAAACAAACTGTGATTATTCAGTTTATTCCCCATCTCCTTCCCCCAAGCATGTTTCCTCTGCCTTTCTTTCTCCTAAGCTCAAGGAGCCCTTCTTTTGAGAAGGTCCAACATCTGGTGCCGTTCGCCATTAACACAAGGAGAATGGGTGAATAAATGTGGTCTGATCAAAGAATGAAATATTAGCTACTAATAGGGAACTACTGAAACAGACAACAAGCAAAAACATTATGTTGACAAAATAAGCCATTTCTGTTCTGTTGTATACTGTATTCCATTTATAAAAGCCTATTGCTTTGTATTATTGTGCTGTATTCCATTTACAGGAAGTACAGGCAAAGCTCATTGCGCTAGAAATCAGAACAACAATCAC